CTCTTCGTCTGCCGCTCAGCCACTGCCAGCCACTGCACGAACGCCGGCAACGCATCTGACTTCTTTGTGACCGGCTTCACCCACACGTAGCGGGTCTTGCGGTCCTTCAGCAACAAGAAGTACAGGCTGCCATCCTTGGCAGCCACGCGGAATGGCCCGCACAGGTCGATGTGCACGACGGCCAGCACATCGTCGGCGTCGGAGCCTTGGTCGGGGAAGGTGTGCCGCGCCAGCTTCCCGCCGACGCACGAGACACACGGGGAGTCGGCGCCCGTCGCCGACTTGGGGTCCAGCCCAATGGCGACCTCGTTCTTCGCCGAGCTCCGTATGGTGTCCATGCCGACATGTGCAAGCCGGGCATGCATACGGTCCGGCGTCGACTTCGTCTTCGAGACGATCGCCCGCGGAGCCACAACCTCCGTCGTGGGCGACGTCGACCTCGTTGAGCAGGGACGCAGGTCGGTGCAGAGGACACGCCCGGAGTACGTCGCCCGACCGAGCACCTCTCCCGTTGCCGAGACGAGCACCATCCCGTCGCCGTCCTCTTGCAGCTTCACGCCGTGCTCCTTAAGCTGGCCGGACGACAGCAAGTTCGCCCGCACACCCGGGACGTACAACACGTCGGGGATGAGCACCTGCTTCCCGGCCTCCCCTTGCAGGGCGACGGTGCCGCTGCCCTGAACGTCCTGCAGCGCCCCATTGAAGCCGCGCACGTGCTTGATGGAGCCACTCGGCTGCAGGTCAACGAAGGCTTCCTTCGTTCCCATCAGGTGGTGGGAGCAACCGCTGTCGAGCAGGACCACCGCCGGGTTCGCCTGCACAGCCGCCGCCACCGCTTGGAAGTCCTCTCCGGCCTTTGGCGCCAGAGAGATGGTCGGCTCCACGACGCCGACCAGCGAGCACGACGCCATTTTGTCGTCTCGCCCCTTGCCGCCTGCAACGGAGTCGGCGTCCTTCGCCGAAGTCGATGCCTTGGTCGACTGTTTCTCCTTGCGCGGATGATTTCCTCCACGACGAGGACGACGGCTGCCAGACCTCCCGCGGCCGCCCTTGTCGTCGTCGTCGGAGTCACTGCGGTCGGGACAATCGAAGGAGAGGTGATCGGGGCTGTGGCAGATCCAGCACTCCCGACGTCGACCTCCTCCTCCTCGACCGCCGTCCTTGGTCGACTTCTTCTCGACCTCCTTGGTCGACTTCCAGCTACCGCTCCCGCCGCCACCAGACTGTCCGCTCTGTCCTGGTCGGCCTCCTTGTTTCGCAGGGGCAACGAAGTTGGCCTGCGCCAAGAGCCTCTGCGATCGCTCAGCCTCCTGCATCGCCTCGTCCTGCAGGATGTATGAGGTCAGGTTGTCCTCGTTGAGCATCGCCCTTGTGCTCGGCGCCATAGACAGCCGCTTCAGCAGGTTGTAGCTGCTAGAGAGACCCTGCATGACATGGGTGATGTACGACGCCGTGGAGTACTGCGCGCCGGCCATCCTGATGGTGGCGAGAATTCGCCTGGCTCGGTTGCAGTAGTCGGTCGCACTCTCCTCGTCGCCCATACGCAGGTGTGTCAGCTGTCCCTCCAGCTGGGCGATGAACAGGTCGTCGGTGACCTGGTACGTCGACTCAATGAAGTGCCACGCCCGGTGGCCAGCGTCGAGGTACTCCCGGCACCACTTCAAGGCGATCTGCACGCCCGGCGAGCAGCACCGCGAGATGACCGTGAAGGTCAACAGCTGCACGGCGCGAAACTCCGCACGCAGGTCGGGGTGGTGCTCACTCGGCGTCGCCACGGTCCCTCGGGCGAAGCCGATCAGCCCGGCCATCTCCAGCTGGGGCTCGATGGCTTCCTTCCAGGTGAGAATGTCGGGTCGACCGACCAGCGGAGGGGTGACCGAGATCCTGTCCGGCGTAAACTTGAAGTAGCCGTAGCTCGGTGCAATCCCACCTGCCGTCACCTGGGACGCCGTCATCGGCGACAGCCCACTTCGACGCCCACCGCCGTCACCATGTGAGGAGCCTGCAGCCACCGACGACTGCATCCCTCTCGCCTGAACGCCGCCGGCTTCACCGGCGTGTATCACACCTCGTTGCCTCGACGTGCCTCCCACACTGCTGCCGACCTGACCTCCACCGGCGTTGACGCCCACATCGACGCCGCCGTCGTTGTTCACCGGTCGAGGAGAGGCAGGTCGAGAAGGGGGATGCTCCGCCGCCCACACGGAGCGGAGTCCGGCCTCGACGACTGCCCAGGGTATCGCCCCATACTCCTGGGCCTCATGGCGTCTCCTCGCATCCTCCAGCCGTCCCTCCAGGGTGTCCATCACCTCGGCGTCGCCTACGCGCACGCTAGTGACTTCACGGCTGCCGGTCTACGAACACGATCGGTATGTGCTAAGTCGGCTAGACTGAACTACGTCGCGTGTTCGTTCCACGCTCACCGCACCATGAGAAGATAACTACTACAACGGGAGCTTAGAGTACTGGCTAGGCACGTGTGCTCGTGTGATGTCTGCGTTCGTTGGTCCTTAGACGTTTTCCTAGTGCTCACACTGGTTGCTAGTTCACGGGGCAATTTGGCAAGAGTTTCACTAGAGAAAGTTGTCAATAATAGTCCAATGAAGTTGGCAATGCAAGACTACATCAGAGCTAGCATTCAGGTTGGTCGACTGCCAGCACAGCATGGTCGACCGCGTTCCAGCACGACTTGGTCGACCACGCTACAGCAGTGCAAAGTCGACAGCTTGCCAACGCTGCAGGTTGACGGTGTGCCAGCATTGCTCACGCAGGACAGCAGTGCACCCGCTTTGCAGGTGCGCGCAGATGATTGGCATGCAAAGTCTCGTCACATGCACAGCGCACACACCACGTCAACCTCGAGCTAGCGACTGCCTCTGATCCGCCACGACGACCTCGGGATACCACCATGGAGGTCGGTCTCGCCAACTTCGCCTGGGTGACCGTCGCACTCCTTCGCAGAAACTCGTCACCCAGGTATCCTGGTCGACCGGGCAACTATGTCGACCAGCTGCTCCTGTATGTGCTCGTCGACCTCCCAAGTCGACAACCACACCAGGTCGACCTCACCAGGTCGACCACTCCTCCGGTCGACCAGATCCAGGTCGACGTCACTCCTGGTCGACCAGTGCAGTTGTCAGCTACCCAAGTCGGCGTCACCAGGTCGACGCCCCTTCTACGTCGGCGCCGACTTCCAGACTGACCTCTTGAAGTTGGCGACCTCCCAAGTCGGCGACCTTGCAAGTCGGCGCCGACTTGCAAAGTCGGTGACCTTGCAAGTCGGTGACCTTGCAAGTCGGTGACCTTGCAAGTCGGTGACCTTGCAAGTCGGTGACCTTGCAAGTCGGTGACCTTGCAAGTCGGTGACCTTGCAAGTCGGCGCCGACTTCCAGGTCGACGTGCCACATCGCCGACCACCAGTTGAAGTCGGCCGCTGGCTTCCCAAGTCGGCGGTATTGCAGTGGCGCCGTGCAAGTCGACCAACCCCGTCGACCAGCTCGTCCAAGTCAGCGTCGCCCACTGCTGCAAGTCGGCTGTACCTTCCGTACACCCCACCACGAAGTCGGCTCCGCCCAAGCGTGGACGGGGCCAACACACAACTCCCGTTGACAACACCGTCTTGTTCACAAGACGGCAGCTGTGAGGGTGGCAAAGTGCCTAGCAACGACATCAGGCATGGGGCTAGTTCTTGGAGGGCAGCAGTCTGTCGTACTTAGTGGTCATTGTGACTCTTCTTACGCTGACGACACTGAGACTCTAAGGTCTACTCAGGGGTATTGTTTCAGCTTGGGTTCTGGAGCTGTTTCGTGGAGGTCCACGCGCTCCTCTTCGATCTCGACCTCTACTGCTGATGCTGAGATCTACGCTGGTGCCATGGCGGCACATGAGCTTCGTTGGTTGACCTTCTTGCTCGCCGACCTTGGTGAGCGGCCGAGCTCTGCACCGACCTTGTTCACTGACAACAAGGCGTCGATTCTCCTCTGTCGAGAGCCGCGATTGGAGAGCAGAGTGAAGCACATTAACGTCAGGTACTTTCTTCTGCGTGAGTTGCGGAGATGTGGACAGGCTCGCTTCGAGTTTGTGGAGTCTGAGGCCAACACTGCAGACATCTTCACCAAGGCGCTTCCGCCTTGTGTACAGTTAGGTCTTGTTGACACAGATTCTAGTCGTGTGTAGGCTTGAGTTTACTGTTTCTTTTGCTTGTATTCTTGCCATACACCTTTGTGAACTCTTGGACTGGCCTTGTGCCCCCCGTTGCTTGTGCTAAGATTGTGTGGTGATGTTGTGATCCACCTTGAGCTTTGTTTCTTTGTGGCTGGTCTTGAGACCGTACACTTTTGGCTTTGCTTGACACCCCTTACTTAGGCTATGGGGGTGTGTCAAATGTTGTAGCCTGTAGCGAGGTTTGTCTTAGGGGGTACAAATGTTAGGGTTTTGCTATATGTACCCCAGCCCTCATCAATAACACTTTCATTCCTGACACACACATTGCAGGTTTGGCGAACCGCCTTGCCTCTGCAACTGGCTCAAAGGGTCTGTAAACCGCGGGCAACTGCCTGGTACACAATGATCATAGGCAGAGATACGGGTTTGGCAGAGCAAATGTCCGCACATCAAATAAGCATCAGGTGTACTTGCAGGTAAGGGATCTTTCTCTATCAAGTTGCGAGAGATTTTCACCCACAACCTTGCGTATATTCGACTCGATTGAATACGCAAGAACGCAATGTCCCCCCCCCCCCCCCTCCCACACAATATAGCTTTAGACCCCGGTCCATTATCCGATGTGCAGTTACGGTAAACAAAGGGTGGCGGAGACGTCTCTCAACTTGTGCTGAGCTAAATACTTTCAACTCAGAAGAGAACGCCCCTTCTAGTGCACCCTGGTGTCTTCTTTGTACAAAACCAACTAGGCATGTACAGTATATTTGTACGGAAAGCAATCCCAGCAGAATGTAAACATTCTCGAGCACTACCAGTAAAAGTGCCACTTGTCAAAACTACAATTTATTGTAACTTTCATCCAAGTTGTCTTCAATCATCTGAAGTTCGGTGTCGAGGCTGTTCACGCCAACAACATCCTTCATCTCCTGCACCTCGGCATCCACCTTCACAGCCGCGCTCAGCTCCTCCTTCCCCACCCATTCCTCCCTGATGGCTTGCAGCTCGTTGGCGACGTGGGCCATGCTTGGACGGGATGCAGTGCGCTCCGCGGTGCAGGAGAGGGCGAGCTGAGCCACACGCAGCACAGCATCAGCAGGGGCGTCCAAGGTGGGGTCCTTGAGGCCCTCCAGGTTGCCTGAGGACATGCATTCAGATGCCTGAGGGAGTGAATTCGGTGGAGGTGGTGGGAGAAGGTGAGATTAGTCTTTGGTGCCAATGAGAAGACGATATCTAAGACCTTTGCAACAATGCCGATAGGTGGTGCGTACCCACGGAATGATCTGCTGTCCCTGTGAGGACCACTAGCAAAAACCGGACATGAACAAAAAGACCAAGTATTGGGTAGCAGAGAGGGGTGTTCCTTTACTGTTTTGTATCACAGTCCAGGGCTAGGAACTGGTCTTAGAGAATGAGGTGCTTACCCACGGAGTGATCTGGCGACTCGCTCCATTAGTTTCCGAGAGTGGTGCCTCTCCTGTGAGGACCACCAGCATGAGCACCCCGAAGCTGAAAACAAGGGTTCAGCGGCAGAGGAAGTTGAGAGGCAGAGAAAGATTGGAACATGATGCAGACGGAAAAGAAGAGGCAGAGGCACTTTAGATGAATCTTGTCACTTGACCGCAGCATACCCAGATTCATGTACATAGACGAAGTATTTGGGGCTCATCTCATCGGGTGTCAGCTCCTGCAATTTCTTCTAAGGGTCCCTGGCAATGCTTCTAAGCATCTCCTGCAATGCTTCTAAGCATCTCCTGCAATGCTTCTAAGCATCTCCTGCAATGCTTCTAAGCATCTCCTGCAATGCTTCTAAGCGTCTCTTGCAATGCTTCTAAGCATCTCCTGCAATGCTTCTAAGCAGCACCTGCAATGCTTCTAAGCATCTCCTGCAATGCTTCTAAGTGTCTCTTGCAATGCTTCTAAGGGTCTCCTGCCATGCTTCTAAGGATCTCCTGCCATGCTTCTAAGCGTCTCCTGCCATGCTTCTAAGCGTCTCCTGCCATGCTTCTAAGCGTCTCCTGCCATGATTCTAAGCGTCTCCTGCCATGCTTCTAAGCATCTCCTGCCATGCTTCTAAGCGTCTCCTGCCATGCTTCTAAGCGTCTCCTGCCATGCTTCTAAGCGTCTCCTGCCATGCTTCTAAGAGTCTCCTGCCATGCTTCTAAGCGTCTCCTGCCATGCTTCACCGTAGACATAACTGGCAGCGGTGGCCTTGGACGTGATAGAGTGGCCAAGATGATACGCGTCCATTACCATTACCATAACCACCACCACTACCACTACCACTACCGTTACCGTTACCGATACGATTACCATCAAGATTAACTCTAACATTAACATTAACATTACCATTACCATAACAATTACGATTACGATGACCATTACGATTACCATTTGATTACCATTACCATAACAAATACTGTTACCATTACCATTACCAGTACCATTACCATTACCATGACCATGACCATGACCATTACCATTAACATTATCATTAACATTACCATTACCATTACCATTACCATGACCATGACTACTAGCATCAGAATTACCATTACCATAAACAGTTCAGACTAGGGATGAGCAAGTGGCGAACACGAACGTGTTCGTGTTCGCCCCTACACGAACACCTTCGTTTGCCGAACCGAACACTGTTCGGTTCGGCGAACACTTTGAGCAAAAAATGGTGTTCGCCGTTCGCCTGTGAAGGCGTGTTCGGGCGAACCTCGAACAGTGTTCGTGTTCGTCACGGGCAAATTGCAGCGGCGGCCCGAACACGAACGTGTTCGGGCGAACATCGAACACTGTTCGGCGAACATTTTAAGCCAAAAAAAAATACCTGTTCGGTTCGCCTCGAACACGTTCGAGGCGAACCGAACAGGTGTTCGCCACCTTGCTCATCCCTAGTTCAGACGTAAAAAATAATTAACACCTGTAGACCTTACTGCCCTACCTATAGACACCACTGGCTGTAGTGTTGCCGATGTGATGGAATTAACGGGCCACACAGCCCGGTGTGCCCATGACATGCGACGTACCGACGCTCTTTAAGATGCTTAAAGATGCTCACCTGTAGACGCTGCTTACCTGTGCACATAATTGCCTCACCAAGGGCTCCTACAATCATCACCTGTAGACACCACTACCTCACTTTTAGACACCACTGCCTCACCTGTAGACACCACTGCCTCACCTGTAGACACCACTACCTCACCTGCAGACTCGAATTCATCATTTGTAGACACCACTGCCTCACATAAGGCTTTTGCAATGATCACCTGTACACATCGCTGGCAGCGGTGGCCTTGGACGTGATGGAGTAGACCGGATCTACATAGCCCGGTGTGCCCATGATGCGCGTTGTGCCCACACTTGTGCCCTCCCCCATCCTCACCAGCCCAAAGTCTGCAATCTTCGCCTGGTGACTCAGATGAGTAAAATTGTAGCATGAGGGATAGGGAATGGTGAATAAAATTGGACATTTGTGGCACTATCCACAACAGAGCAAGGATTGAAATAAAAAGAGGGTTCGTGAGTGTGGTTGATTGAAATATATATTTGCTGTATGAAACAAGATATAAAGTTCAAAACTTCCGACCTGTCGCATACCAACACCTAGATATGAGCAATGAACCGAACTTAGGTTCGGTTCGACAAGTTCGGTTCGAGTTATCTCGAACCGAACTTTTTTTTCCGCCAAAAAGGTTTGAGCAAACCTTTCTGAAGTTCGCGCGAACTTTTTCGGTTCGAGTTTCAAACCTCGAACCGAACAGGTTTCGAGGTTTGAGAGGGTGAAATTCGAACCGCGGGGGGTTCGAATTTCACCCCCGCCAGAAAAACCCATCGCGACTTTCCCGTAAAAAAAGGGAAAGTCGTAGGTTGGCTGTCAACCCTTTCAAGGCAGCCAACCCTAGACTCGTAGCAGAGAAGAGTACATATAGATCTAGATCGACTCTAGCTCTCCCATGCTTCCCCACTACCGTACGTTCACCTCAGCTCCAACTTAAGATGTGTAAAACGTTAACTTATGTTTGACAGTTTAGTGATGTGATGCCTATCTATTTTCCAGAGAATACGGTTTGTTTACTGTTTTTTTAACACTTAGTCCAGTCATTCCGTTTAGGATTGTTTGGGGCGCAGCATACCGAAATTAAAGGAGGGTTGGAACAGCTACCATGTCGAATTATGGCCAGCCCCGCAACGGCATGGTCAAGGAGCACCAAGCGGGGGTGACCGACAGTGGGCGGCACGATGCTCACATGCCTGGTCCACTGGCCAGGTTTGGGGAAGAGTCATTGGGTCTCCCTGGGTCGGTTCGCACCTTCAAGGTGGGAACGGAGCTGCGGGGAGTGCGCTCTAATTCCCGTGTGGAGGGGGCTGCGGTAGGGGATGGTGAGGGTGATGCGGAGGAGGATGAGGAGGAGGAGGAGGAGGGGGAGGGGGAGGTGGAGGAGGAGGAGAAGGAGGAGGAGGGGGAGGAGGAGGAGGAGGAGGAGGAGGAGGAGGAGGAGGAGGAGGAGGAGGAGGAGCACGTGGAGTACGATCGTTTAGGGGCGTGTGGGGATGAGCTGGATGAATCGGGCAGTAGGGAAGGAAGTGATCGCGCATACAATCCTACCGATGAGGGGGGTGATGCGGCCTATGACGAGGACCACGAAATGGATGATTTGGAGGCGGAGGAGGGTGTTGGCGAAAATGAGGGGAGGCGTACGCGTGGGCGGGGATGCCCCCAGCAAGGGGCGGCAAGTGGAGCAGGAAGGGGGCGGGCTGGTGGTGTTCGGAGTGGGCGTGTGGAGAAGAGGGGTCGCGGGAGGGGGGGGAGGGGTGGAGGTGCGACGGCGCGGGGTCGCACCACCCGTCATTCCCCCCCTCCTGAAGCCTCTGTGGACCAGACTAGGCCTCGGCGAAGGCAACGTGCTCCAATCGATGACTCGGAACTAGGCATGACAGTCCACATGTACGGCCCTAAGATAGAGGGACGGCGCAAGTGCAAGATGTGAATAACTACAATTTCCTGGCAGAACAGTACCACCACATCCGGCAAGCGGCACTATCACTCCAAGCACCGTGCACATTTGGGTATCTGGGAGCACAGGTGGAACCACAATCTAGTGGGTGAGGGTGAGACGTTTCCGGAGGGTGGGTATGAGGGCGTGCCCAATGGGGGGATCGATTGGCCGTACTGCATGCGGTGGCCAATCATCCCTGGGGCTGGACGTCAGGCCGGCGTTCGTGGTAGGGGGGGGATGGAGCGGTTTGTGGGCCACCAGTTCAGCGTGCGCTCCTTGTGGGAGGCACTCACCAAGCTGGTGGTGACGGGCAACGTGCCTGTCCGCTTCGTGGAGCTGGAAGCGGTGAGCACCAGTCGCCATTATTGTTGGTGCTGACAATTTTACGTTGCCATATGCCTCAGTATCTTGCATTCTTCTTGTTTGAGATGTCCTTCAATTATTGCCATGACACCTGACAACGAACGCTGTCTTTCCTCTTGAATGTCCCGCGCAGTTCCGCAAGTTGATGGTCCTGCTGAACCCGAACGTCGCGAACGTTCGAGTCCTTCCATCTAGGTGGACGGTAGCTCGAGACGTAGTGGTGTTTGCGGAGCGCGCACGGGCGGAGGCGATGGCTGATTTGGCACCACAACCTGGAGAGCAGGGCACGGGAGTCGCAATCTCCAGTGATATCTGGACCGGGGGGAACGGGAAGGCTTACTCGGTGGTGAAGGGCCACTTTGTGACATGAGATTGGAAGCAGCGGGAGAGGACCTTGGATTTCCGTGAGATGACAGGGTGACACGGGGGAGAGGAGATAGCGGACTTGGTGCTGGAGGTGGTGCGTGATTGGGACTTGGTGGACCGTTGTGTCGCATTCGTGAGCGACAACGCGTCCAGCAACACACGCGTGTTCCACCTCCTTTCCGGTGGTAGTTCTCGCCCTGCCATCTTCCGCCCAGGCATGCACGTCAGGTACGGCGCTCGTGTGCCATGAAGTTCCTCTTGTGTCTATTTATGCTGGGGTTCCACCACTGCCATCCATGTATGGTTGAATTGTGAACCATCCCCATCCATCCACCCTAAACCTCAGGTGCACCTTGCACGTGCTGAACTTGGCGGTGCAGACAGCACTGAAGGTGCCCCTTGTGCGCAAGACCCTGCGTCTGGTGCGCGACGTGGCGATCTTTGTGGGGTACTCCCCCATCCGCACGGGGAACTTTCAGGCGGAGCAGGTGCGAGCGTACCCGGGTAGAGCGCTCTTGAAGCTCGTCCAGGACAGCCCTACACGATGGGGTTCAACGTATGAGATGGCAGTCCGCTTCCTCCAGCTGCACAGGGCGATCCACGTCAACTTCTACGACGACCAGGTACGATAGTGGTAGTATCATACCGTTTGCATGACCATTGTTCCACATTGTTTTACTGCTTGTTATGATCATGTTTTAGTATGACACCCCAATCGATGGTCTCTACCCCCATTGCTATCTCATTCTTGATTGGACCCTCGGGATGGTTTTTGACCCTCTCGTTTGCTTTATTGTGTTGAACATGATGCTGTCCATAAACCATTAGGCACGCATGTGTTGTAGAACAACATGTGCATCATTTTAAACCTCAAACCTGCTAAGGTTCGAGTTCGCACAAACCTTTGAAGGTTTGAGCAAACCTTTAGGGTTCGCCATTACATTCTCAAACCTCAAACCTTAAAATTCTGAAAAATGTTCGAGCAAACCTGTTTGGTTCGGTTCAAGAAACATGCAAGGTTCGAAAAGGTTTGCACAAACATGTTCGAGTTCGGTTCGTGCTCATATCTACCAACACCTTGTCCAGACTTGGATGCATACTTGACCAACCAAAATATATTACAAATATAACACAAATAAGCCTCCGTTGAACAAAAATCATTGTGCCACTGTAGCGAAGCTTGCCTGCATGCTGTCGGTGATGAGGACGTTGGCAGGCTTGATGTCGCGATGCACGATGCCAAAGCCGTGGAGGTACTCCAAGCCCCGTGCCATGCCGATGAGAATGTCCAGCCGCTGCTTCAGAGTCAGAGGGCGTTCTGCCTCTGCGATGCGAGGAATAAGTGGCAGAGGATGAGTGGCAGAGGATGAGTGGCAGATGAAGAGTGGCCAACGGCAGGCTACATCTCAAAGGTGCGTGGCACAGCATATGAATGGCAAGCTGCTTTAGAGTCAAGTTCAGCTACACAATAGGATTGACACAGACAATGAGTGGTACAGAAAATGAGTGGCAGAGCTTATGAGTGGCGCCACATGAGTGGCAGAGCATGAGTGGAATATCAAAGATAAACAGTGGAGTGGCACACATACTTGGACCAATCTTTTTGTTAAGATCGCCGTTGGGCACGTATTCATAGATGAGAACTTGCTCTGGCTGTGTCCTCAAGTCCCCTCCGATCGCAAAGCCAAGGAGCTTCACAATGTTGGGATGGTTCTTGTCGGCCATCTGCTGGATCTGATCCACACAGTCAGAAAGGAAGGGCGAGCAGCAAAAAAAAAAACAGATTGTGAAGGGCAAGCTTGACAATTTGAGGAATCGGCTTGCAATTTCACTCTGCACCACCATCACTGACTGACCTCCTTCTGAAAGCCCACATCTATCATCTTGGCGCGCTTCACAGCCCACAAGGTGGTGCCATCGCGGGGAGACACGCCCTTGTACACATCGCCAAAGGCACCCGAGCCCAGCAGGTTGTCCTCGGACCAGTCATTGGTGGCCTTGAGGACCTCTTGTAGTGAGAACTCCGTGCAGTGCGAGGCTGCTAGACTACTGCCAGTGCCTGTCCAGGGCGTCAGAGGGGAAAGGAGACACATGAGACAAGCTGGTTGTTGGGGGACCTCCCATTGGTGGCCTTGAGGACCTCTGCTAGTGAGAACTCCGTGTAGTGCGAGGCTGCCAGGCTGCTGCTTGGGCCTGCTGGTGGCGTCAGAGGTGAAAGAAGGTGCAGGGGTTAAGAGTTGTGTAATGGAAAATGCCTAATTAGGGGCTTTTACTTTCGGAGTCATAGAGCTTGTGATTGTATGTCCCGTTCGTGGTCAGTGAGCTTGTGATTGTATGTCCCGTTCGTGGTCACTCTGATCGTGGTCAGTGAGCTTTGCTCGATATGAGCCAAGCGGCTCGAGCAGTCAACCTTGGCTCGACGTTGATTGATTCGAGCATGCACAAGTCTATGTTCAATATGTGAAAGTTTTGCCCCTCGCTTGTGCATGCTCGAATCAACTATGATGTCACTATAAATTGAGAACATCAGCGAGCAACTATGCCTGGTTTTCCAGTGGTTGCTTTATCTTCCTACCTTGTGGCGTCGGCTTGATCTTGTGAAGTAAAGCAAAGTGGCGACCAGGAGCAGGAGAATGACCACGGCCGTAACAGCAATGCTAATGATGACTCCCAATGACACTCCACCTCCAGATGCTGCTGGTGAAGTAGCCTCGCTGCTGCTGTTTTTGTTGTTGCTGCTGCTGCTGCTGCTGCTGCCAATTTCTGTATTTGGGTTTACAAGAGCATAGTACCATGCAGTGGGTGGGTATGTCAGCAAGCCAATACCAGAGTTATCGAGAGGAAGAGACATAAAAGGAGCAGTGTTGACGTGTGAGGAGCACAACTGGTTGCAATTGAACGCAATGCTCAGCTTCTAAGCGCTAACACGAATTCAGCCAAGTGATCAAGTTTGCAAATAAGGATCACAAGGGTGGTGCGATGGAACTATAAGAGAGCATAAATTGGTTGTGATTTTGCGCGATCTCATATTCTCAATCAGATAAGCACGTGTCGTGTTTCAACGCATTCCCTCTGATTGTCCAATGCAAATGAAGTGCTCAGGAATCAGTCAGCCTTGTGCCATGCGGTGCCATGCATTGCCATGCATTGCCTTACGCTCCTTTCTCCATTGAGATTTGTCTAGGACATTGTATAACTCTGGCACAACACTCTCAACTTCAAAATGCATTGAGCAATGTGTGTCAATTCAATCACACTCTGAAATTACACTTTGTTGGTACTTGTTCTACTTGCCTGCAGATTGATTGCAAGTCTTGCAAAAGGATTTACACGTGCGGCAAAAGGTTGTCATCAGATTTTGTTTTACTCCACAGGCAGAGCCGTCAGGTGGGCATGTGAGGTTAGTGCTAGTGATGTTGCTGCAGTGGAATGGGGAGACAAAAAGACAGAAATCATGGGCACAACTGTGCACAAATGGAATTAAAGTGAAGTTCATGTAAGAATGGGAATAGTGGTCGGGCTAAAAGAATAGTTGGGATTAAAAAAAAATACGTCTGTCTAAGTGGCCATGAAGGTGGGAACAAGGGGAAATGACAAGGCTGTCGACAAGCTGGAAAAGTACAAGTACGGTGCGTGGAGAAGTAGGAGTTGGTGATTGCCACATTTCTGTACTTCCGCTACAAGACCCGTCTTCTACAAACTGACGAGATGGGAGGCGTTTGCGAAGAGTCACTCTACAACGGTGGTAGCTGGACTACGTGGTACAAACCATGGGGTTGTATGTATGGGTGATCGTAGCTTTCTTTAGCACTTGCAAACTTGTGTGTTCACATGGAAAATCGGCAAGAGTTTCACATGCACAATTGTAACAATACATCAGGAATGCACAACACCCAGCATCCTAGCAAGTCGACCTCCAGCGCAGCACTAGGGCGGCTTGCCAACGCCACAAGGCAGCGGCATAACAACGCAGCTGGAATTCGGCATGCCAACACTGCAAGATGGCGACCTGCCAGCGTTGCAGGGTGGCTTGCCAAAGCTGCAACAAGACAGCTTGCCAGCGTTGCAACCGCAGGTGTTCACGTGCGCACACGTGCGCACCTACCAAGTAGGTCCAGACGGATGGTTGCACCGCTAGGCACATTGCGCAGGTGCCCATGTCAACAGTTGTGCCAGATGCACTACGTCGACCACTTGATGCTCGGCCCGCGGGTCGGCTTTGCCATTACCACCTGGGACGAAGTTCGCGCACACCCGCAGAACTTCGTCGACCAGGTTACTTGGTCGACTAGAAGGGCTGTTAAGTCGGCCGACTTCGTCAATCGGTAGACGCCCGCAGGTCAAGGAACGTGTTGACGTCACGTCGTCGCAGTGCTCCCCTGAGGTTGACCAACTTCACCCTTCAGGTCGATGCCGACCACCATGCCTAGTTGGCCGCACACCTTGCGTGCCAATCAGCGACGTCGGCTTCGTCCAAGCGAGGGCGGGGCCTTTCTCGTCAGCATCGCGCAGCAGCACGAGTAGAAGAAGTGGTCGGAGTGGTACGACGGTGACGCGCGTGGATGAGGCGACGAAGATAAGTCTGGTGCAAGCTCGCAAGTGTTGATAACGCTACACTCTTTTTCTTGGGTAACACTACCTGACCCGACTTCAAGTCACATAATACCTGACAGAGTTTAAAATCAGGTCGGGTTGCAAACGTTGGGAATTTGACCCCGCTTTGAGCGAGTCGACCCAACCCGACCCGACCTGTACCCGCCTCAGGTCGACTTGGATGGTCGGGTCAGGTCCGGCCGGGTATTTGTTCAAGCCTGGTTGATAACGCCCTTGTGCTTTTTTGTATCGAATCCTGTTGGCAGGATCTGAATGTTGACAGAGTCTTGAGCCCAGGTAGACATTCCACCACCAGTTTCGCGTGGATCCGGCATTTCGCCAAGCGGATGTGGCACTATCATGGTTGAAACCGGTGGCGGGCAGGACAAAATGTACGATCAGGACTTGGTATGTGTGAAATTAACTTAATTTCAAGCCCTGGTCTTCAAACGTTGAACAGGTTTCCCGCCTAGCGTGGGAACCTGCTCACCACATTGAACATTGCACTATTTGACTCTGAGATACATTTTGCTTGTGCTATATCATTCGGACTCGACGCGGCACTGGCGAATCAAACAGGTGGCGGGCAAGACAAAATGCACGATCAGGAATTGGTATCTGTGAAATCAGCTGAATTTCTAGCCCCAACCTTCAAATGTTGAGCAGGTTTCCTGCCTAGCATGGGAACCTGCTCGCAGCGTTAAACACTGCACTGTTTGACGCTGATTTTTTCTTTTGCGCTACACCATTCGCCAAGCAAAGGTGACCAGGCGCGGGCGAACCAAACAGGTCCGGCCAAACAGATCGACCAAAATTTCCCGATCCGAAGCGAGCTTCTTTTTCAAGAAAATGTCTGCTCTAGCCTACTCACAGACTGAACAACGTGTATCTTGCTCTGACCTACTCACAAATTGACCAATGAAGTGATGCCTCCAATGTCAGCTGACACAGACCCGCTGAGAAAATTAGAAGCCAAATTCCTGGCCAAGGGGTGGGAAGTGTGGGAGTGCGCTTTGTTTGCCTCATCCAAGCCATGCAT